TTTTAGTGGCTATCCAAAATTAAATTTAGCGAGAACATTTCTTCACTGTGGATGGTGGAATGATGGAAATTAAAACAAATATGTGAGTAAGTTTCCTATTTGGTATTAATAAAAGAAAATCTGACATTTCATACTGTTTTAAACCTGTGGCAGGATATAACAAAGATGCTTAAAAACACCACTATGCTGCATTTAAAGTAAAATTTACCATCTAGGCTGCTCAGACAGGCCAAATAAAATGTGCTGCTTGGTTTCGCCCACATTAAATATGTGAGAACTGGTTATTTCGCCATCAGCCATAAAGTCACTGTTTATAAATGGACAAGAGACGCAACCTGTGAGACAAAATACCCACTGGTCCACTGTGGAGAGGATGACAGCAGGGTTCACATAAATTGGAACTCAGGCGATTTGATCAAAACGCTACATGACAGGGAATTATTAATTCACTAATACCGGGCTCAGGCCTAGTGATTCACGTCCATGACATTTTAATCTAACTTTCCAAGTTAATTAGATGAATATACATTTTCTCTGTATGATCCAGTCTCACATTTAACAGGGGAAAGCTTCTGTTCCAATGTTTGTACATCTTCAGTCATCGGCGATCTCTGAACTCAATACTGGTGACCTATCCAATTATTCCAGCCATTTGATTAATTTAAATGCATTTTCTATCATACCAACAGTAGTTAATATAATGGAACTGGTGTCGCAATCTGAATTGGTAGCCACTCAGGAACAGAGGAATATGTTTGAGTGGTTTTATATTAATATGTTTTATATATGTACATATATAAGGTTTTGCCTTTTTGCATTTTTGTAGCACTCCCTCGAATGATATACAGAGCACATGGTACATATCAACAATGTATATACACATATGAGTCACGTATGAATACTGTATTACTGTTACATTACAGATACATCCTATGCGCTTTCATCGTCCATTCACTTCTATTAAGTCTTGTTCAGTGGACAAATTCAAGCACATGTTTCCTGTTTCGGTGCAACCTCCAGTCGAGTTCTTATTTGTTAAAATTTGCCCAAGTGGATGTGTTCAGTCAGCCAATAGCATTGTGCATTGTGTTTATAAATGGTGTTATTCTAGTGTTTCCTCATTATTTTTAGCACATCATCACTCCACCAGAGCTGTAGCGCCGCAGTCATACACTGTTTGTGATCCATCACAATGTTTATTTATTACCCGCGTCGGAGGCGTGACATGACATCCTCTTTCGGGGCTGAGTGTGGGGCAGTTTGTTGAGTGGAAATATAATGTGACCAGACAAACAGGCTTTAATACACAGTGATAGAAGAGCTTTTATAATTTTTAATCACTATATTTTCCAACAACATTACTGTAATAATAATTTATTTACAGGTAATTTTGATTTCATTCATTTTTAAATGAATCATTTATTTATCACTAAAATCCTGAAAGCCAGAACACAAGGAGGGACATGACACCCGGTTAGATGCAAAAAAATACAATATTTCTTTAAAAAAGACACGAAGGACCAAATAAGAGAGCAAATGAAAAGCTGTCATCAGTAAGCTGCACATACAACACAAAGACGTATAATGGACACTCAGACAATAATAACATGATACAGAATGGTACTTTAATGTTTCAGTTTAAGCCATATGTAATTGCATTAACTGCATTTTCTTTTTATGGCATTTGTTCTTTTTAAGTATGAACTAAGACTTTGATACATGAAGTTTTATAACTAGGTTAGGGAACAACGACCACGCCTCACACTCATCTCAATTCTGCTCAAAATGTACTTTTTATCTGTTCTCTTCCCCTCCAAACCCTTTCCTTTTCTCCCCCTTCTCTCTCTTATTCAGATACAGGAACCACTGGGGCTCTAAAGAAAAAGAGATAAGAAGAAACTGTTTCCCCCACTCAGAGTCTCATCACCCACTTTCCTCCCACCATCTTGCCCGAACTCCTCCGTCCATCCATTCATCCATCTGTTCACAAACCTGACTTCTCCTCCATCCGTTCATCCCTCATCCTTCCTACCCAAACTCCTTCATCCCTCATCCCTCAACACTTTACCCATTCATTCATCCCTCCTACAGTTTATCACATTGGTTCACATTCATCCATCATGTACAATAAAGCGTTCTAATTCCATACGTGTGTTGCTGTGGTCTTTGTTAGTGAACTAATCTTGTAGTGCTGGTCCCGTAGACATAAGGGAAAAATCTATATATATACCTAAATAAAGTTGAGTTTTAGTTAGAGTTTTTCTTCCAGCATTGGATTACTGATTGGCTATGAAGCTGACATTGTATAGTTGGATTACTGAAGCAGAGAACGGCTATGCTTGCAATTATTTTTTTTTAATGCTGTAATTTAGAGATCACAAGTTGATTTATCTCACAAAACAAAAGGTCTATTTCTCGAAGAACAAGATCATTTATCACAAGAAAACAACTTTTGTTTTCTCGAGGTCGCAGGATAATAATACAGAACTTGAAAATGAGTGTTTGGGTTATTTGATCACAACGGATTTCAGCCTTCACTTTCGTAGCTGAACTTTAAAAGAGTTGCTACCAGAACTGAGAGTTAATTTAAGCTATTCATTTCCCGGTGATACAATACTGACAAAACATATCAGGAGAAAAGTGAGATTTATTGCATTAAATAAGCTCAAAGTTCCCTCCACTGCCCAGATTCTTTTGATGCACTTAGCCCTGACTGCTGCCTCACTTCAGTCAGTAAAATGAATATTAACTGGCATGCTGCACATTATTCCCCCATGCATTATCCATTATGTTGAAACAGTACTAATCCGCCATTGATGCATGCTGGTATGGCACTCGATGCATGCTGGCATGGTGCTCCTGATCTCTAATAAAGCTTAGAAGTAACAAGAGGAAATGACCTTTTGTTTTCTCGTGATAACCGGTTGATTATCTTGTTATCTCAGGATAACAACGCTTGTTTTCTCGAGATAACAAAATAATTAAACCGTGATCTCGAGATAAAGGAATTAAAAAAAAATAAATGATTGCGTGCACGGCTGTTCTCAGCTTCCGGACACTGGGGGCCTGACAACAAATATTTTCTCTAGGGCCTCAGAAGGTTAAATCTGGCCCTGCTGGAATGACTAAGAGGAAAGTTAAAGAAAAAGCACATAGTCAATGAAAAACTTTAGAACTGCAGCCAGTAAATGTACTCTTTTTCCATCAATGTCAGTAGCCTACATATACACAAAATACATTATGTGTATGTATGTTCTATGTGTATTTCTGCAGTAAATATTGGTAGTCAATATGACTATGTTTTACTACAATACAGAGACACATGTTTATTTGTCTTTCCTGACATATTAATAGCCTGTATCATTAAATCTTTGGCTTTAAGAGCACTGTTGGTACTGTAGCCAGATATAAATAAAACGGCAAAATACACATAAAGCCTAGTGATTGTTGATTGATCTTCTTTTATTGGTCCTAAAATCGTTGTTGTTGTCAAAACGATGACAGAACAAATATGCTATAAGTCAACTGGCTTTTTGAGTCCCACAATCATTCGGAGGAGAGAGAGAGAGAGAGAG